TCTGTAACACAAGGTTGTAATTGATTCTGTACAGGTTGCTTACATTAGCCAAGGCAAGGGAAAGGAGTAATACTGCTGGTAGTTTACAGCTTCGTTACAGTTTGCAGCTCGCTTAAAGTTTAAAAGGTGCTTGCTTACATTTCAGGTGCCAATTCTTACTCAACTGTGACAAAGTAGCATGCTCACATGTCTAAATTGGTGTATTTTGTTTGATAACATATATTAGTTGAGTTTATTTGAAGTTATAGTACGCATAAAAGTATGCAGGGAATTTTGGTTCCTTCTTTTGTGGTTTATGTGGTTAGTAGTTGCATTTGTTATAAATCTGAAGTAGAAATATGCAATGTGTTTGTGTTGGTTTCTTGAATTTTGTCTTTTGCTTGAGTTTCCATCTATGGTTGCTGCCTTTGTAATGTATTTTACATTTCTGGTTACATTGCTTGAGTTTACATTTCTGAGTTTCCATCTTTTGTTTAGGATTTTGCATGACTGTTTTGGCATTTAGATATTGAGTGTTTGAACCTGTACCAATGGTTCTTGATGGATTGTTGAAAAATTTAGGGGTTTTGATGTTGGTTGTTCCTATAGCATGGTTTTAGCATTCCTAGTTAAAAATTGTGTTTAGGCAGAGTTGATTAGGCTTTTTCATGACTGTTTCAGTGTTTAGATGATGAGTGTTCAAACTGCACCATTTCTGTTGATGGGTTGTTGAAAATTTTCAGGTTAAGCAAGGGCAAGGGGGAGCAAAGGCGAAAGAATTAACCTCCCACAAAGCTGTTTATGCTGATGGGATTAGCTTGACTATTTTTGCCACAATCACTCTCTCGAACAAGCCAAGAAATCGTAAGTTTTTCCTCCCTTTTCTTTTATATTGATTGATTACTGTTATTAAGCTTCTGTTGCTGCTTAGCAATCCTCCCTTACTCTAGGAAGCATCATTTTGGTTTTTTAATACAGCATTGTTATTGATTTTTTACAGGTTGCTCACATTAGCAAAGGCAAGGGAAAGCAAGTAATACTGTTGGTAGTTTGCAGCTTGATTATAGCTTGGTTGCTTACATTCCAGGTGATTATTCTTACTCAACTGTATGAAAATTACATGTTATGTGCCTAAGTTGTTATTAACTATTACATGACATATGAAGTTTGGTTTATTTAAGGTCATAGTTTAGCATAGCAGTATGCTGGGAGCTCTACATCTTTTTTTCTGGATCTGTACTACTTTGTTGCATATCTTGTAGGCTGGGATCTGAAGTAGAAGTTAGGCTGCCTGTGTTGGTTACTCAAATTGTGTTGGTTACTTGGGGTTGCATATTATGTTTACTTGAATATTGTTGTCTTTGTAATACATTTGAGTTGTGTGAAGTTGCTTATGGCTATGGCAACACCGAACACCTACAACATAATCTGAAAATCATTCTGCAGGTTATAATCTGAAAATACTTCTTGCAGCATTCATAATCTAAAAATCATTCCTGCAGGTTAAAATCTAAAAATACTTCCTGCAGAGTATAAACTGAAAATATTTGGTCCAGATTATAATTTGAAAATCAGTCCTGCAGATTCTAAGCTGAAAATCGTTTCTGTAGATTATAAACCCTAAACCATAATATTTATAAAATTGAAATAAAAGTTCTATCCATATTTGAAACGTAGAAGAAAGTACCTTTTCAGAATTTTAATGACTTCCTTATGCTAGGGTTAGATGAGAAGCGATAGGGAATAGATGTACAAGAGGCATTTAGAAGGACTTCGGCACCTTAATCCGGAATTTTTATCCGGAGTTCATTCGTTCATTGAATATGCATGTTCAAAACCATCTTTTATGGACGGTGATAAGATAAGGTGCCCATGTGCTAAATGTAAGAACAAAATGTACAAGTTACCCGATGAAGCTAAGTTAGACCTTGTTAGGGAGGGTGTCATTGATGATTACGATGAGTGGGTTCTCCAAGGAGAAGTACCAATTGGTGTTAGTTCCTCGCAATCCCAACACAATGAAGGAGATCTCCCAAGGTCAAATACATACCGTGACATGGTCATGGATGTGATTGGCCCTAGTTTGGATTGTCATTTTCGTGAAAGTGGCAATGAAGAACCCCCCGATCCAAAAATTCAAAGGTTGTATGACATGCTTTGCAAGGCCGATGAACCCTTATATGAGGGATGTTCTAAAGTCTCCCAATTGTCTCATGTTGCTAGGCTATTGAATATCAAGTCTATGCATGGCCTATCGGAGCATGCATATGATGATATATTGGAGTTATTCAAGGATTCAATTCCTCTCGAAAGTAAAATGGTTGGTAGCTTCTATGAAACAAAGAAGCTTGCTTCCGATTTGGGTCTCCCATGTGAGAAAATCCATTGTTGTATCAAAGGATGCATATTGTATTGGGGTGAGGACATAGGCCTAATAAATTGTAAATTTTGTGATCATCCTCGCTATAAAAGACAAGTGGTAAGTTCTAAGAGAAAAGGAGATAAACGACCAAATAAAGTAATGCATTACTTTCCTCTAACCCTAAGGCTTCAAAGGTTGTATGCGTCCCAAGTCACGGCAAAGCACATGCGGTGGCATAAAGAGCATCATAAACAAAGTGGTGTCATGGGTCATCCTTCCGATAGTGAGGCTTGGGAGAATTTTGATAGAGTCAATCCTTCTTTTGCATTGGAGGCGAGAAATGTGAGACTTGGTCTATGCACCGATGGATTTTAACCATTTGGCCAATCGGGGAAGCAATATTCATGTTGGTCAATCGTTGTTACTCCATATAATTTGCCACCATGGATGTGCATGAAAGATCCTTACTTGTTCTTAACTATTATTGTGCCGGGCCCAAGGAATCCAAAGCAAAAGATAGATGTTTACTTCCAACCATTGATTGCGGAATTATGAGCTCTTTGGGATGGTGTTCCAACCTACGACATGTCTACAAAACAAAACTTTCCAATAAGAGCTTCACTTTTGTGAACCATTAGTGATTTTCTGGCTTATTGCATGTTGTCGGGATGGAGCACATCGAAGTTAAGAGCTTGTCCATATTGTATGGACAATTCAAAGGCATTTAGTTTAAAAAATGGTATGAAGGTATCTTGGTTTGATTGCCACCGGCAATTTTTGCTGGGGAATCATGATTTTAGAAGAAATAAAAATGATTTCATGATAAATACGACCGAAGAGTCTCTACCTCTATCAACATAGATTGGGGAAGAAATTTTAAGGCAAATTGAAGATTTGGGGTTGAAGAAAGTTACCGAACTTGAGGGGGAAAATGTGAATGCTCCGATATGTAAGTCTTGTGGTTTGGAGAAAGCGAAGTATCTTTTGGGATACACCTTATTGGAGCACAAACCTCATCTGTCACAATCTCGATGTCCTGCATATTGAGAAAAATGTTTTTGAGAATGTATTTGACACGGTGATGGATGTTGAAGAAAGAACAAAAGATAATGCTAAATCAAGAGAGGATTTAAAGATTTATTGTAAGTGTGTAGAGTTGGAGCAAAATGAAGCAATCGGGAAGTTTCTGAAAGCTTGCTATACCTTGACCAAAGATGAGAAGAAAGTAATTTGTGATTCGGTGAGAAACCTCAAGTTCCCTGATGGCTATGTTTCAAACATGGGTAGGTGTGTTGACTTGAACAAGAACAAGCTATTTGGGATGAAAAGCCATGATTGCCATATTTTTATGCAAAGGCTAATTCCTATAGCTTTTCGGGAAATGTTTCATATCCAAGTGTGGAAAGCTTTGATGGAGTTAAGCTTCTTTTTCAGAGATCTCACAAGTAAGGAGATTAAGATTGAAGATATGGAGAGGCTTGAAAGAGAAATTCCTATTATCTTGTGAAAGTTGGAGCGAATATTTCCACCAAACTTTTTTGACTCAATGGAAGATCTTCCAATTCACTTGCCTTATGAGGCGAGACTAGGGGGACCCGTTCAATATCGTTGGATGTATCCCTTTGAAAGAATAGCTAAGAAAATACTTTTATAAATGATTTGCTTTCTTTCTTGTTTATGCTAAGGGGTATTTTCTATGACTTAGGTTCTTGCGGAAGTTGAAAGCAAAAGTAACCAACAAAGCTAAGGTTGAGGGTTCAATTTGTAACGTGTATTTGGTTGAAGAAACTTCTATGTTTTGCTCACATTATTTTGAGTCTTATGTGAGCACAAGAATGAATAGAGTGGGTTGTAATGATGATGGTAGAATTGTGAATTTGGATGACGAGAATTTATCAATATCCAAATCTCCGGGAAGATCATACGGCCAAGCATTATCAAGATGCTTGACCGATGAAGAGTACAATACCGCAAGGTCATATGCGCTATTAAATTGTGTAGAAATTGACAATTATATCAAGTAAGAATCTTGTTTCATTTATAATAAGTTAGTACTTGTTCTGAAACTTAGTATAACGTAAATCATAACTTTTTAAGGGTATTCATTGAAGAGTTTCATGCAAATATGCCCGGCATATCAAATGAGTTAGTTGATATCAAACTTGAGAGAGAGTTTGCGGCCTGGTTTGCTACTTATGTAAGTCTTTATTTTTGCAAATCAGCAGCATTAATCTCAACAAATAGACACTTGTGCCTATCATTTTAGTCCCAGTTGGTAAGCAAGACATATCACATTACCCTGCAGCATTCTAATCTGTTCTTAGTTTGCTTAACCACCTGTCTCTCAGTTTACAGAGTTGTATTTTGTCCTGCATAGATCACAGGACTCATTTTCATTCTTATCTGTCCTCAGCTACCTGTTTTTTCACAAAACAGAGTAGAATTTTTTCCTGCACAGATCACAGGAACCTTAAGCATTCTGATCTTCCTCAGTTTGCAAACCTGAATGTTTTTTTATACCATATTCCATTCACCAGTCAGTTTTAAACTCATTTTCATGTTCCTAAATCATTAGTTTTAAGTTTTATATGATATTGACTTGTATCCATTAACTAGGCACGGGATACAAGGAGTAACATCACAAGAAAAATCATCAAAGATGTCGCCTTGGACCCTTAAGAACTGTAAAGACGTATCCTGTCTTTTTTGTAAATGGCTATAAATTTCACAGATACGAACATGGTGAAATCAAATCAACATTCAATAGTGGAGAGTGCATAAAGGGCTCTAATTATAGTGTTGACTTAAGTGACTATTTGTTTAAGTGCCATTGGTATGATCCAACTCCAAATGTTGGGATGAAAGTTCATAAAGATTACAAACTAGTTGAAATCAACCGTAAGAGAAGGTTCGGCAAGTATGAACCTTATATTTTGGCTTCCCAAGCTGCACAAGTTTACTACACAGCCTTATCCAAGCATGAAGCGAGACAAAAGTGACTGGTGGGCTGTCTGTAAAATAAGCCCTAGAGCTGATTTTAATGTCCCTACTTCGGATCAAGCTTTCCAAGACGAAGAAGTAGAGAATCATATTTTTTATGTTGTTGATCCTGAAACTATTCCTTTAAATGATGCAAATAGGGTTTATGTTGATTTAGAAGATGATGGTGATCTTGGCAATTCAACAGAGGATGAAATGACATGGATGAAGATAATTAGTTATAGGGAATAGTTGTGTTGTAGTGTTTTGTATGACTTTGATGTATATATTGCAACATCTTTTGTGGCTGCTCAGAATGTATTTATAGTCAATTCTGTTAATGCTGAATATATATGATTCTCAGAACAATTTGGTTTTGTTTTATGTTGTATTTAAACCCTATTTTTGCTTTATATAAGTTATTACGATATCTCTCAGTATTATTGAACTAATGGGTTGAGTATCTGCTAGCAGATATAATCAGGAAGTCACTTCAATCATCCAAAAGAAACCATGCTGAGGCATTCGATTCTGAAGCTGCAGATGTTAAGCTTGTGCCACTTAATATTTTAAGGCAAATTGTTGTAAACCAGAACCCTCCAGTCATTGAAGCTGTAGTAAACCCAAACCCTGCAGCGGTTGCATCTGCAGGTGGTAAAGGGGGAGCAGATCATAACGTTGCAGGTGGTGAATCTGGACCAGATCATAACCATCTGTCAAGATCAAGAAAGTAGCTCCTTCATTCAAAGGCAAAGCAGGCTCTCGCACCAATTCAGGATACGCCAATTTCACCAACTGCAGCTGTGAGCACTACTGGTGGAAATCAAACAACTCCAACTTCTGAGCCTGCACCAAAAAATCAAACGCCGGTTCAGAAAAGAACAAAGTCAGCACGCTACTCAAAAAGGAAAAATGCCAAAATATCAAACTAGAGTGAGAAACATGCAGCAGAAAACCTAAGGACCGAGGAGGTTCCAGAATAGGCTACTCCATTTCAGAAGCAAGCCACTCCACCAAATTTAACTGAGAACCCAGCACCAGATTCAAGCAAAAATGATGGAGCAAGTACTGAGAATGACTCTTCAGGAAAACAAAGTCACAATCCGGGAAATCACAGTTCAGTTCAGGATTCACCCCACAATTCATGCCCAAGTCAAAATATGGGTTGTAATCGTACTGAAGAACAAGTTCCGCAGTCTAGTCCCTTGGGAAATTCAAACCGTGGCTCTCCAAGTTCGGAGACAAGTTTGGGAAGTAGAATCCAGAATTTTATACAAACTCCTGGGGTGGGAAGTTTGCAAGGTACTGACGCTGAGAATACAATTAGAAAACAGAAATCTGGACCTAGGGAGATTCATGCTATTGGAGATATGTAAGTATTCTCACATTTTGTTCAGGAAGTGGTTATATGAAATGACTTTTTCTAATACATTTTTGTTGAATTTGTATTAGGTTAAGTTTACGGAGTGAGTGTGCAAGAAAAATCAGAAACAAGTTAGAAGATTGGTTGGAGGTCGGAGCATAATCTTGGTCACTTGTGAGCCAAGAAATGAAATATTTCTATTGGAATGAATTCAAGGTCAGTTTATGAACTTTACTTGTATAAAGTTTTCTTTTATGTTTTATACGTTTGTGTGTGCCTGTAGTAGCATGCATGATTATGGTGAATAGAAGGTCACTGAATCTGAACTCTGAGTAGTTAATGATTAGAAGATGATTGAATATGAAATCTGAGTAATTTAATGATTAGAAGCTAACTGAATCTGAAAGCTGAGATTAATTAAATGTCTGTACTAATACTTAGACTGTTTTGTAGAAATCTTTTACATGGGATCCTGAAATAGAAGGCCAGATAAAAGCGGCATGGTATTCAGTAACAGCAAACCGTTACCATGACCTCACAAGGGATATGAGAGAATGGGATGAAAAGCCAGGTTTCGTTCAGGAAGATGTGTGGGCTAGTTTCAAACAACATTGGGAGACTGAGTCTTTTCAGAAAGTAAGAAGAAGGAATGCAAATAACCGTAAAAGCAGCAAGAAGGGACCAGTGCATCATACTGGAGGTTCAGTCTCATTTGTGGAGCATGCGGCAAGGCTGGTAAGATTTTCATTCCTAACACTTTACGTAACCTGAGTATTGTTGTTTTAGATGGTGTTTTCTTAAATATTATAAAACTGATTCAGAGTGTCGGTTCAGAGGTTTGTTTCATCTCTCAAGTTACTGAATTTTTTCATTCCTTGAATGGTGATCAGTACAATGCTATGTTTGACATGTGTGTAATTATTGGCAGGAAAGTATTCTTGGTCACAAGCCTTTGCCGTATGAAGTATTTGCATACACTCATACCATTCGACATGATTTCAAGACCTTCGTTGATTCCAATGCTAAAAAAGTTCATGTAAGTTTTGTTGAGCACTTGAAACATTTAATATTCGTCTCCAATGTGCCCCTTTATGTATGCCTACTGGATTTCATGTGCCTCTTTAATTTGATGCATTCAGTTTATTCTATGCGAATTTGTCGGCGCATATATACAGATATTTTTATCGGGATTGTCTCATTATGTGTGATTTGATGTTTACGTGATTTGCTGATTTTGGTCATGTGATGAGGTTCCTTTTAGATTGGATAGCCTTTTTACTTCAGCAAAGTCTTCATATTTGATATATATAGGTGGTCTTGTACAAGTGTTTTAGGGACTGATAATTAGTCAAATTGTTGCTTTTCATTCTGCTCTTTCTTTCTGGGAACTCCAAATGCTCTGATCTTGTCTATTTTCACCTGCAATCACTTATCCTTTTTATCGCATATGAAACTATAACTCTTCTGCTGGAAATTATATGCTTGCGCTATTTCATTCATCCGTTCCCAACTTTGCTGTCTTTCAACTATGAATAAGTTTCTTACCTTCTTTTTATGCCTTGCGGGAACATAGGCCAAGTATATTAGGATTAAGGATAGGGTTATTCGGGCTCTTGCTGAAGACTCGGAGCTTGAACGTGAGCTGGATGAAGAAGGGAAGAGTATATGGCCTTGGCTCTCAAGCAGGCTCTTATTATTCCTTGGGTGCTGGAAAATCTGCACATTCAGATGTGGCGATACAAAGTAAGAAGCAGATTCAGGAATTGACTAGCAAGGTTGACGCTTATGCATCGAAAATGAAAAAGATGCAAACTATGATGGAGAAGTGGCAAAAATCAATGGAGATGTGGTGCAAGCAAAATGGTGCTCCATTCCCATATCTTGGTCTTGAGGATAATCAAACTCTTCAAGGGTCAGAAGGGCAAAATGATCAAGCATGTTCTGATTCAAGTGATTGGCATGGAAGTTCTGAGGATGAAGAAAACCACAATCTAGGTTGATTGGCGTTGATCAATATAGGATGTCTGTTGGTTTAGGATTTTCATTTTGAAAATGGATGTTTTTCGTAATTTGACAATGGTTTAAATGTTTGTGGGATTGGATTGTATTGTTCTTTACAACGTTGTTGAATGCGTTTTGAAATATTGGATTTAACGGCTGATTGACATTTAGTATTTGATTTGTTGGACTGGATTTGATATAAATGTAAATATTAGGGGCTAAATATAAATAAATAGTACAACAGAAAAGAAAATATTACCCACTACTTGTGTCATGGGAAACTTTGGCAAATTAAGTAATTTACCCTCGGAGAGTTGTGGGTATTTTTTTTCAGATTCGCTAATTTCCCCACAGATATCTTCGTGGGTAAATGTATTATTAAAAAATTAAATTTCATTTTACCCACAACAGCCGTGGGTAATATTATAAATTGAAATAAATAAGATTTTTATTTTACCCACGGAATCCGTGGGTGATTCTCTTGAATTGTGGGAATGAAGAGTCGATTCTCTCATGAACTATCCCACATATTGTTGTTGTGGGTGAATTACCCAAAAAAATGTTGACTTCCGTGGGAGATGCTTCTCCACGGGCACATTACCAACGTATTTTTTTCCGTAAGAAAGTCGTGGGTAATTTTATTTACCCACGGCCGCATAGGCATATTACCCACGACATTGGTCCGTGTGTACTGACCTGTTTTTTTTTGTAGTGTGTACTAAATATATAGAAATTGATTTTTTAAAACATTATTTAGGCTAATAAGGGTAAAAATGAATTTTTGACATCTTCCCAAACCTTGGAGAGAAAAATATAATTATCCCTATTTATATTTGGACGCTTGATGCCCTTTAGTCATTCATGTATTTGTCGTGTGAAATTAGGTTGACCATGAGTTTTTGGATGAAACCCCTATTCAAAACTGAAATGTAACACTTTCTTAGATTGTGATATGCTATACAGTGATGCTTGAAATTTATAATCTCTAATAAATGTAGTGCGCATCCTTTTGACAGTTTTGGGGTAATTTTTTGTATTATTCATATAACTGAATGGATAATAAGGATAACCCATGCAAATCGGACTGCACTTAAATCGGGCTTCGAGAGTACCGGCCTCCAAAACTGCAGAGAATAGTCGCCCAAGCCATGCATTCATTGCAACCTCCCAACGAGGGCGTTTCATTGGTTGTACTCAATATCTTAACTCCCAAAATCCTCTATGCGGTGTACGAGAAAAAGACCAACGTTAGATTGCAGGTTAATATTGAATTGACCCCTCGTTCGTTAATGAAATTGGGATGTGATGATGATTTGTTGCTCCTGTGCAAATTCAATACTCTCCGACCTTATCCTTGGTTGATTATGTTCGAGGAAGGTAAAGTTTCCTGTGATGCAATGGCTTCAAGTTTTACAATACTATGTCTTATGCCTGCTAGACGGAAGGATAAGAAGAAAGCTTATGAAGGCTATGCAACGTTGATGAGATGCATTGAAAATGTTGCCAACTAGTTCAAGTGGTTGAAAAAGAAAATTCACAAACAAAATGAGGAGATGAGATGGTTTTCATGCTATTAAGGAAGCTATTTCAACACTTCCCAACCTACAAAAGATAATATCCTAGTTGGAATGTGAGAATTGGAACCCCCTAAAACATGAGTCAGAGAGTTGAGGCTGAACTTTTAGAAATTCTTGGCCAAAGGGTGAACTATATTCGAATCAAGAGTATTTTGAATATTGCAGCAATAGAACCTGATGCAAAGCTGTATCATGATGAAAATGTTGAGACAAATGTGGAATATTTGGAAGGTTTCAAGAAGAAATATTAGAGTGAATGAGGAGCCAGATCTGAATCTAAATCATGCTAGAAACATATAATAGGTGATTTCATTAATATAGTATTCAGGGTTTACGAATATAATGAGAGTTTATTTTAAAAAATGGCTAATAAGGATATTACTTGATTAGGAGATGAAATTCAAGTTTGGGAGGTTGCACTCAACCTAGCTACCAATGCTTCCTTAAGTGTTGCACTCTGAAGTTGAAGGAAAACATATTTTGGGGGAAAAAAATATAAAGTTTGGGTGTATTATGATGAGTTGGTACAATTTCTTCCAAAATACGTTTCTAAATGTTGGTATTATTGGAAAGTCTTGTCATGTATAGGTAAGAATGACATTCATGTTTAAGTAATCACGTTATTAAATGTACTAAGTATCCATATAATAATGAGGAAAAGATGTTAAAATTGGAAATGGATGTCTTACAGGGGAAGTAGAGACAAGGAAAAAAAGGTTTCAACACCATCCACATCTAGTTATATTAAAAATATGTGTAAATCCACAACGGCTAAACTGATTTTTTGATTAATGAGTTGCCTTTTTTAAAAAGGGATTAATGAAAGTTGCTTTTAATTTTGTAAAAAATGAATGATTTGTTGCCTAGAGTAATGAAATGCAGCCTTCGATAAGTACCTAGATGCAAAGAAAATACAAAAAAGTGCTATACATTATAGTTGACTGAAAGAAAATTGTTGAAAGAATAACTTTTGGAAATTATTTTTTAGAAATTATCTTGTAGGTTTCGCTTTAGTGGAGGGAGACTAATTCTGTACGTACTCTCTTCTATTCCGATGCATACTTTCGCTGCTCCTGAACCACCAAAGTATATTATCAACGCTTTGGAAGCACGATGCCAAAACTTCTTGTAGGGTAAAAACCGAAATGGATTTAAACGACATTGGCGATCTTGGAAGCGTTTATTTTTTCCAAGGGAAGAAAACGGAATGGGTATTCGCAAATTCAATGAGATGATCCATGCTTTCTCTGCTAAGGTGTGGTGGAAATACAAGAATCAAACAGGCTTATAAGCAAAATTCATTCGTTCCTTGTCGGTTACATCCAGAAATCGAACCACCAGCTGGAAAAGATTAGTGACTATCGATGAGAGAGAGCCTATCATGTCGGATATCATCCATGAACTAACAGCTGAACACGTTGAATGTTTGAATAATATTTCTATCACATTGTCACTATCGGATCCAGACAATAAATTTGTCTGGAAACCATCGACGACATGAATTTTTTTGGTTGTAACAACATATGAATCTCTCCCTCAATCTCAAGAAGGTTATCCTTGGATAAAATTTTTTTGGAACTAAGTTATACCACTTCGGATCTCCTTTTTCTTTTGGAGGGCCTATGATCGTATACTTCCTCTTTCTGATGCCATAAGTAGAATCAAAATTTGTGCTTCCTTCACGTTGTCTATTTTGTCGAGCAAGAAGACTCTTTTGATATATTTTTTCAGTTGTTTACTAGCTACCAAAATATGGAGATTTTTTGAAGCAGCAGTGAGTATAAACTTGTCAACCGTGGAAGGGTTATGGGCTTACTTGCAAATCTGGTATTCCATGGGTAGTTTTACTTTGGCAAAAAAGACAATAATCATGGCATTAACGGTTTTAATCCTCTGGGAAATTTGGAAAGAACGGAATCAAGAGATCAATCAAGGTACCCAAATTCAATTTAATTTAATCATTTTCTCTATCAAATCTAGCATTTAAGGTATGATGAGGGTTCATAATTTATAAGCAAAAACAAGAGAAGAGCAAAGAGTGCTTGAAGATGTTTTCCAAGTAAGGGTTTCGCCCGAAAATGAAGACGATAGTTGTTGTATCATAGAAGCTACCAGACCGTGGGAAGTATATGTTGAACGTGGACGGTTCAGCAAGAGGAAATCCAGGCGAAGCAGGATGGAGCTATGTTGTTCAAGGGAGCACGGCAGTCTGATTCATGCAGCATGTAGTCGTTTAGACAACCAATCCAGTTTTTGTGCAGAAATTCAAGGTATCTCATAGGGACTTCAAGATTGTGACGACATCTTCAAGCTGTCCAATTACAGTCTGACAGCAAAGTAACAATTGATCTCCTTAAAAGAGGTAAAGATTTCCTTTGGCATTATTATGATGATTTAGTGGAAAAAACCAATATAATCAAGCGAAGGAAATATCACATTGTCCATGTCTTTCGTGAGATCAATACTGTAGCGAATGCTTAAGCCAAAGAGTAAAATATTCAAATAGTCCCTTACATTTAGGTTTACTTGAATTTACGTTCTTAATATTAACATTTCAATATCGTAGTCCCAAACAATATGTTTTCAAACATTTTTTGTCTCATTTCACTGTTTCCGGCCGTTGACATGCCGGAATCAGGGGTATTTTTGTCTTTTAATTTAAATTGAGCTTCTATTAAAATTTAAATCATTAAAAATATTTACAAATTCATATTTCATTATTTAATTGTTAAAATATTATTTATTAAAATATTATAAAATTTTAAAATTTACATTATCTTCAAATTTACTTTTTTCGTTTACCATTTAGTTTAAGTACACATTAATTGGTAATTATATTGTACTTTAACTTTGTACCGACTGTAACTTAAAAATTTTACCGAATTTCATTAAATAATTCAAAATTTAATTTTTTGAAAAAAAAGAAAGAAAAAGAAAACCAAGATTTTTTTTTTACTTTGACCGCTACAGTAAACCCTAAATGGTAATTATGTTACACTTTTAACCTTGGACCCACTGTAACTTAATAACTTTAGCGAGTTACAGTAAATAATTCAAAATTTAATTTTTTTTATTTAAAAAAAAAAAGAAAAAGCAAAACCAAGATCTTTTTCTTTTGTAACTCAGTAAATTTTGAATTTTGAATTATTTATTGTAACTCGGTAAATTTTTAAGCTGCTGTGAGTCATTATTTTTTAGAAAATAAATTGAATTTTAAATTATTTACTGTAACTCGATAAATTTTTTAAGTTATAGAGGACCCATTTTAATTGATTATCATCTAAATTTTTTAATTGAAAGTATCATCTAAATTTTAGGATCTTTTAATTGATTATATATAAAAAAAAAAAAAAGATCTTCTAAACTAATCAACGTAATATAGGAATCAAATTGTGAGAAATCAAAAATAAAGATCATAACAA